GCTGCACCAATAAATGCTCAGAGGCACCCCACTTTGCCAGCAAACCTCCTACCAAAAGACTTTCTTGCTTTGTGGACTGGAAAGCCCATTGTGCCATCTTCTGCTGATCTGGTTCTGTTGCCAACACTTCTCTGTCACTGCTTGTCATTATCTCTTGCTGTCTCCAGTATTAATAGTTCTCTTTCACATGGGTCTAAGAGGTTCCCAGGGACCCTGGGCCCAGAGGAAATGCTCTGCTCCTATCTCTTCTTGGTGGTAGTCAAATTCTTTTCATGCTCTGGGACTGACGTTCTTTTAAGACTAGCAGAATGACAAAATTGACCAATCTAGAGTTTCATACATCTCATTTGCATAGCCCCGCCCCCACAAAGGTGCCATGTACCTTATTTATTTGTCAGCAAGCTATCCAGTTTCCTTGGTGGAATGAAATGAGTAGAAACTTTGCATAGCCCCACCTAGTCATTTGGTGGAGTTACAAAAACTGTGGGTAGAAAGGCCAGTTTAAGTAATACACTGCACCACAGGATCACATGAACCACAGCTTCCACTTGCCTGAGACCAGAAGAATAGATGGCGCCCTGCTACTATTACTGACAGCTCAGATTGAGGTCACAATAGAAGGTACTGGAAAAAAATGTATAACATAATTCAAAGTTATCAAAAAGACCAGACTTAGTGGTCTGATAGAGACTGGTGGAAGCTCTGAAACTATTGCCCTTAAACATCCTTCAAACCTGGTATTAAACCCACTCCCAGTGATCACCTTTCAGCCAAGTAGACAGGCCTATAAGGTGAACAGTAACATCTGTGAAGAATGCTCCTCAGAACAATCAACCATACAGACCAAAAGGGCATTTGCCCCAAAACAAAGTTCAAAATACAGGAAGGGGCAGGAAAGATGGGTGAATGGAAACGGGCAACCTAAGGAGTAAGTGGGAAGAGTGCTGTTACATTGAGGTGATTGCAACTAATGTCACAAAACAAAATAAGCATAAATTGTTGAAACTAATTTGCACTGTAAACTTTCACTCAAACCACAATAAAATGTTAAAAAAAAAAAAAAAAAAGTTATGGGGCCTGGGATAAAAACAGTGTCAGGTGGGAAAGGTAGTTGCTTAGTGGAGGTGGGTAAGAGCCGAAGAACAAGTGCACAGGGAGCAGACAGACCTGAGTTTGAATCTCATTTCCACTACTTACTGTCTATAGATGATCTCCAGTAAGTTATCGTGGCTTTCCCAGTCTGTGAAAATATACT